GGATGGGTTTCCGCTGGATAATAATCAATCTGCTAGAGCTATACACATCCACGAGCTTGGGGATCTCAGCAACGGCTGCGATTCTACAGGAGGACACTATAACCCTTTCAGCGTGAATCACCCCCGTCACCCGGGGGATTTCGGCAACTTTTTTCCCAAAGAAGGCAAAATCAGAAAATGCAAAACAAATCTCTTTGCCACTATGTTTGGTCCATATTCCATCATGGGCAGATCCGTTGTGATCCATGAGCAGGAAGACGACATGGGCAAGGGCAACAATAAGGCCAGTTTGGAAAACGGAAATGCTGGGAAACGTCTGGCTTGCTGCGTGATTGGGATATGCAACAAGAACTTGTGGGAAGAGAAACTGTCTGAGGTTACAGACAAGAAGAAGAGAGGGCTCAAACAACGAACATAGAACCAGGCTTAAATGAAGACCAACAAGCCGACTAAAGCCTGGGCAGCACAAAGTACCTTAGGCTGTGCCACTGGCCACTAAGAAATACGGCTAAGGGATTCCCATTTCCATTCACTTGCTCCTCTAAGAAATGCCTATCACTTTGTAGAGCGTCCTTTCTGTAAGCCCATCAATAAAAACAGCATCAACTCAACATTGTAATGTATTTTCTTAGAGAAAAGATTCCCTTTTGTGCAGTTTGGGAGTTGAATGCATGTAAGTAAGAGTGCTAATGGATATGGTCGATAGTTTGTAAAGAGTCTGTGTGCTGTAAGGGGCTCTTAGGGGATCGTGAGTGAGATACCAAAGGGAAAAAAAAGTTAATATGAATAAGTAAGAAACTGCCTCTCATTAGATGCTATCCTGTATTTAGCTGCAAATCTGAAAGGCAAAAAGATCTCTACGCTTTCAACAGTGTTGGGTGTTGTGTTGCAAGACCTGGCTAATGGACTTCCCCTAAAAAGAAGGGAAAGTACAGACATTTCTGTTGTAAACTTTAGATCCATTACATTATTCTACTTGTATTTTCAGGTTTTATTCTCAAACATGGATAAGCTTGTTAAGCATTTTAAATTGTCCACCACACGGCTATAGCTAAGTCACACTGTTTACATCTGAAAGCAGACTTAAAAGAAATCCTCCAGTTTACCATCACTCCCCAGCAAAAATTCCCTAAAGCCTCTAGTTTGTGCCTGTTAGTTACTAAGCTGTATACAAAAGTTTTAGTGCTGCTGAGACAATGATGATAAAGTTAGCAGATCAAAGATAAATATTATTTTCAAAGCCAAAAAATACTGAGTGTGTTTCTTCATACAAAAGTGTAGGAAGTAAATCAGTCAATTTAGACTGGGAGAAGTGATAGTGAAAAGATTTAAGTCAGATAATTTTCAGACTTAAAACTCTCACTCAATAAAGCTTTTCTTTTTTAATTTAACATAACTCACTGAAAATACCTCATGACTATCATTCATCTGATACCGAGAAAAGAAAAGGAAACAAGCAGGTAGAACAAGCGTATCAGGAAATGTTTTTATTAAAGATGACAAAATGTATTAATATAGTTGAACAAAAGAGAGGTTTGCAAATAAATTAAACTGCATAATTTATAAAGTAAAACTACAAAACAGAAGCTGGTAAACAAAATCCTATCTTTTAGAAATGTAGCAGACTTTCAACTTAATCTCAGTTAAGATTTTGAAATACATTCCTGAGCTCATATGGATTAAAGAAATTCCACTGTCTTCATTATACAAATGCCCATATGCTTAAAAATAGTCTCACTTAGAAAAGAAGCAGCATTCTAAAAGATGCTTCTTAATCTGTCAGTTGCACACACTTATTTTACAAATTCAGTGAACATTGTTTTTTAAATAACCACAACATCGTAATTTCAAATGAAATCCTTCTCACAGATAATGCATGAATTCGCTTTTAGGTGAGACAACCTCCTTAAAATCCGTTTGTGAAATGCATCTTCTCCATACTCCTGCCACAATATCCCCTTCCCAGTTTGCCTCCCCAGAGCCCAACACCAAAAAGACCTGTATCTCTGGATGTGATTTCTGCATTTCTAAAGTCCTAGTAAAAGGGAGCACAAGTCTAAAAAAACCCCAAAAAACACCCAAACAAAACCACCCCCTCCCCCCCAAACCTAAAGTAGTGTTGATTCCACAACAAAACACTAATTAATTTACTGGGAAACAAAATCATCGTTCTAATAGCACAACAATATCAATTAAAGCAAAATCCAAGGAAGATGCTGACAAGAATATTCAATGAGTTATCACATAGTGCAGCAAAGATGTCTTACTTTTTCAAGTCTCCTGGCTTTGAAGTCTTGTGTTCCTGGGAGAAGGCTAAAAACGTAGCTGGAATACACATTCACTATGGCAGAAAGGAGAGGGACGGTATTGCAGCAGTGATTAGTACTAAAAATGAGGTTTCCAGCGATCTAGATATCTCACTGGAATTTAATGACTGCAAAGATACAAAAATGGCATCTAAGAGGGAGAATGGTGTGAGGATAATTACCAAGATGTCCTAATTGTTGGGTTGTTCATCACTATGTCCTTAGAGGAAAAATACACTAAAAAGAATGAGGCACTAAAAAGCTGTTGGTCCAGCACTGCTTCTACCTGCTCGAATTTTTGCACCAAGCTTTTAATTAATTAATAGCGTTAACTGACTGTTAAGAGACCAGGAGCAAAATGCTAACTCACACAACTGTGGGTCAGGAAAGACACAGGACAGGGAAACAATATAACACCCTCAACATTTCTGAGCTCAGCTACGTGAAATCTTGACCTCCTTATTTGCTTGCCTCAGTTCTGACTGCATTGATATTTAGCTCTGCACAAGATTAGTCTGAAAGATGGAAAAGAATACATCTTGAATAAAATGCTGCTTCATGTGACATTCAAGCACTAAAGGAAAAAATCCTGCCACATTCTCCCACAGATTTCAGTTTCTGCAGCTATTTCTCTTCCGACTTGTCAGTACTGTCATATAAATGAGTCAATAAAGCAGTCAGTTACAATTAATGGGAACAGCATAACAATCTTTCAAATACTTAAACTCTTCTTGGTTTTTCAGGTGGCGAGGAACTCAAACGGTGATCAGGATAATGAAATAAAAACTTTTTACTGCTTCATGTCCCTAATACGTTTAAATATACACATGGTTTTTGTTCCTAAGGGCTGCTGCTTAATATGAGTGAAATGCTGCAATGTCAAATTACCTTTAAAGAGAAAGGAAACGTATTTGAGGAGCACTGTGAGTACGGCTTTATTGCCTGCAGATAGACACTGAAAGGGTTACATGAATGCACCTGCTAGGGAAAACACATGAGAACAGAGACAAGCCACATTTTTCACCTTCCCACTATCACTCCTTATATTTATATGTAATACTTTACATACAGCCTTTCTTCTGCTGAATACAAACTGTTCATGGACTCTGACACCTTGATTATGGCAGCACCTGCTAGCTCATCTTCCATATACAGAAGAGTTTGTCAGTATTGCTAATATAAACTCTGTTTATTCAGTAGCTGACAAGTGGGCTGTAAAAATTTGCAGCTGGCAGTTACTTGTCAAAGAAGGCTCAATCTGGGAGGGATTTTCCTTTTTATTAGTAGTATTTTATTAAATTTGGTTTAATTCTCTCTGATTGGTTTCAAGTTCTAGGAGTGAGAAATGAACATTTACAGACAATTAGGTCCCAAGCCAGCAGAAAAATTGCCTTGATGGCTGCTGGCCCATAGAAGCTCCACAGCTGCAGAGACTATTCCTTATGCTACAAACAGGAGAGGAAGGACATGCCTCCCCCTCTCCAACAGCTGCTAACTTCAACATTAAGTATTCCCTTGTTGCTGCCTTACTAGGAGCAGAGTGGCACAGCTCCAGCATCAGGAGCGAGCTAGGGAATGACACAGCAGCCTCCCTTTTCCCCAGTTATTATAGGAATGTTTTCCTATGACTAAACATCAACAAGGGAAGAAGTTTAAGAAAGCGGCAACAATGCAAATAAACATTCTACCACACCATAGACTGGTGAAATGAGGAGGAAAGGAAGAGTTATCCTTAATTCCAAAACATAAGAAAATAAAAAAGACACAGATTCCTTTAAAAAGGAGGGCACAGATGGAGTAGGCTGAAATCTATCACCCATTACTCAGCCCGAGGGCTGTTCCAGCTCCTGTAAGTTGAGGAATGCAATTCCAGTAACAGAGAGCTAAGTGGGTGGACAGGGCATCACTGGTTCTCCTTTTGCTGTTCTCCTTGCTTTGGAACAGCATTGCTGTTTCTCACAGAAAGACTTCTGGCTTCTCTGATGATGTTTCCTTCAGAGCTTCATTCAATTGGGTTCTCAGTATCTGGTGAAAAAACTCCCTGCATTTTCATGAGATGAGCTGGGAAAGGGAAGGAAAAATTTTGTACAGTTGAGAAGATATAAAGGTTTGTAATGAGAGAACTATATACATGCAGGGATTGTTTTCAGAAACTACCTATAAGGGAATAGTGATTTTATCCTAAGAATGTACTTACAGTCACTATACGTAAAGAGAAGTAGAATGCAGTGTGAGAAACAAGCAAAAGCTTGCAGCCTCAAGATGCTTCTCAATTTATCCTTCGAAGACACTTCTAACCATTAAAATACAGTCCAGCGCTAGGACCGTACGCGTTACAGAAGCCTAGTGATAACATGATAAATCATTATCATGGGTCTCTTTGCTACACTAATGTGAATTACATCAATCTATGTAGAAACTTCAACTCATTACAAAAACCCAACATGATTAAATCTCATCACTAATTCCTTCCCTTAGGTAATTTAGGTTTTTGGTACACTGTAGCCAAAACTAACAGAAAAACACCTTTATTAGACAAATATTAACAGTTCAATGTAAAACTCAACCCTATGGCACACTGTTTCACTGATCATATTCGCAGCAGCACAGACACTGCAAAAGGATTACAGTGAGATGCTCGAGGGCCTGGATTTCATACCTCAGGCCAAACTGTTATCCAAATATTCACAATTTTCAGCAGATCTTGTTTTCAGATTCAGGGAGCTCCTCAAAGCTGTTATTTGTGTGTTCAGTTGTAACACTGAGCCGTCCATACCTTCCAGGGTCCTCAGTATGCATCACATCCATGGTGCTGCAATTTCGATCCCCTCTTTCATCTGGAATTTCACAATCGCTCTCTGAGGTTTCGTTGTTGTCTTTCAGGGCCTCAGTTTCAGCTGTTTGTTCATTCTCTGAGTTTGAGGGATCTGTGGGGTCGGATGGGTCAGGGCTGGAAGGTGGGAACTCTCCCTCAGACGAACCATTAAGCTCTGCTCCAACCACCGTGTTCTGCTCCCCTGCGGAAGCGTCTGCTCTTTTCCCTTCCATTTCTGCAACTGCCTGCTCTGTCAGTTTAATTATCTGACTTCCGAGCTTGTTTATTTCTTCTTCCTCGGAAGGTAGCTGGGGTAATGAAGGATAAAAATGTTTATTTTGGTTTCTGTTATTTAAGTTTGTTCCCTCTGGAGCCAGGGACTCACTTGCAACAGCACAAGTTTCGTCACGTTCTCCCTTCTGTTCTGCTAAAAGAGAAATGGAACATTGAGATGCTGTAGTCAGTCACAGGTATTCATTATATACCTCACCTGAACACAGTCACCACCACAGAGATGTTTACCTCAGGAAGGAATTTCTAAGAGTGACTCCTTATCCCATCCCAGGCCCATTTCTTAGATGATAAGCAATCAACACTAGGTTTCCTGCTGGATCTGGCCCTGTTTTGGAGCCTGTCTTTCACGACAACTCTAAAAGAGTCATAGTCGATACCATACTGTAGAACAGCAGGGTCAGGCAAACTTTTTCAAAAGAGTATCAAGTCTAAGCAAGGCACTCAGCTACAGAAATTTTTGTCACAGCTTAACATTCATCCCCACATCACTACCACTTTCAGGGGTTAACACAAGCTCCATTTATTCGGAGCTTTTCACAGGCTTTCATCCAATAATGAAGTTTCGTTATTGGTCCTGCAACATTTCTCCTAACATAAAAGATTATTCTAATTCGGGTAACAGCATAAAACAAAGCAGCAGTGGAAGAATTTTGAATATACCATTATACCAAAAGGCAAACACTGAACAAAGCGTCAGAATAGAGAAAACAGCAACGTGTAAACAAACAGCTTTGTGAAAGAGAGAGAATTTGTCCTCATCTCAGTAAAGGACAAAAAGCCTCATTGAAAATAAGGTTGCAAGTCAAGTAAGAAAAATTAGGAAATGCCAGAAGTACAGCTGCATTGACAGCTTAAAATGACTCTTGTCATGCATATGCATTACCTTTTAGTATATAAGCATTTACTCTTTTTCTCCTGCAAGAATCCTGCCTCTCGCACTGCACAGGACAGCCTGGCTGCAGGGAGGGATCAGAACTAGACAATACAGGAGCCTACCGTCTCTATCAGACCCGCCTCATTTATAATTTGGGAGCTGCAGAGTGAGTGAGACAAGGCTTGGCATGAAGGGAACAGACACTCTTACTACCATTAAGGAAGCTAGGAATGCTACTCTGAATAGAGCTGGAATTTAAGTCTGTGGAAAAGGCAGGGATAAATTAACTTTCAAAAGGTGATCACCCGCTGGATCTAATCCTCATTATCTGAGCGCTCAGCTGGAAACCTAGGAGCTTGATCTGCAGTACTGCTCTGCTCATGTTGTATATCTGAATGCACATACTCAAAGTGCTCCAAAAAGAGCCAAAACTTACGTACCTCAAATTGGCACTCAAAATTCGCAGGGACTCTACCTTATTCTTTGCCTGCCTCAGTTTCCTCCCTCTACAGTGGGATAACACCATCCCATCACGTTGCTGCAATTTTCTGAAGACAAATTGTTTCAAAGCACTAGAACACCAGAGAAGAGTTCATAGAAAAACGGTACTTTTGTCTTCAGGGAATGCTTGAAATAGCACACAGGCAATACAGCAGGAACAATGCGCTCAACAATGAAGAAGAAAAAAACGTGAATAGCTGTTCATTAGCAGCTGTGATGCTCAAGTACAATCTATCCCACGACACTATCCATCCTGTGCATTGGATAAAGTGAGATTTGGGGGCACACAGCGGTCTTTAATTCATATGTTGTAATATGCCATTATGCATTTTCACACAGGAACTGCACAGTATATCCTATAGACTTCTACCATCCAGCTTAACTGAAACAATTATTAACAAGTACAGACTAAGACAGGTCTTGATGAGATCAGGGTAAGCAGATAGATTAGATTAAAAAAGCCTGAAAAAGCCCTCTGATTATCTGTAGACCTAGCTAAAGCAACATTTGATGTATTATAGAAAGTTCTGATAAAAAATGTATGTTAGTGCAAAAGTTAAAAATGTTTCCTTGGCCAAACAGGCACCAAATATCAATGGTACTATTTAAAGGACCATAGCTGATCAAGGTGACATCAGGCCTAGTATTTAAAGGTATGTAAGAATTTCATTGCTATTCTGCTTATCAACTGTTTTCACTCAACTGATCATTCAACTAATAGGAAAATAAAAGTGGGTTTGTTTTTATTTCTGGAATACTTTTAAACCAAGGGCATACTTGCTTGGTAAACGAAGGCAGATGAACACATTCCTATGTTCTTCCCAGCTGCCAAGCTCCCCCAGATTTTGGAGGTACACTGTATAGATGTAATATGCACCAAGCTCCTAAAACTCAACTCAACAGTCATTCTCTATGCAGAGTGGCACAAAAGGTGACTCAGTGTATCACTCCCATATAGCTGCTGACTGCAGAGGAGCTGTGTGACTCCAAGCACAGGGACATGCCCTACAGCTGAAAACACACTGCTTCCTTTCCAGGCTGCGAAGGGAAGATGGCAGCCCCAAACATCTTCCCAAAAAAGGATCTGGAGCAACGGAAAAAGTTATTGTTGTTCCACCTACTGCTAGAAGCTATGGCATTCCCCACACAGCTGGTAATATATATGTGCTCATCTGTGTCACTGAGAAGTTGGCCCAGTTTATTTAAACCATCACAGAGGTGAGTTTTGTCTGAGTTCTCGCTGCAGGTTATCAGGTATACTGAGCCACATGCAAAGGAAAAAAACAAGCTGTTTGTGCAGGCAGAACAGTAATTTCTTAACCTACTTCAGTTTAATGACAGGATGTCTGTGATTGATCTTGGCTCTCTTATGGTTATAGGATGGGAAGGGGGAAGGAGGGTGACGACCTACTGGGAGCAGATTCTTCCCATGACTGCCACAGGCCTAATCCTTGGCTGCCTTATCATCTCCAAGGCTGTTTTATTCTACTCTTCTCTTCCCCTGCCTAGCTCTTTGCTCCTGCCCTATACGCCTTTGTTTATCCAGCCCCTACACTCACTCCGCCCATTTCTCATCCACCTTTCAATCTTTTTTATCACGCCTTGCTTTCACTGTCAGCAGTTTGATTCCTCGCTCCTGTGCTCTGACCTCTGCTCAGCCAGATACAAGTCCCCCCTCGCTCAGACTTCCTTCGACTCTGTCAATCCCCATCTACTCTAGTCTTCCGACCACTTGAGAGTCCTGATCTCAGCCTTCCTTTCCTCTCTGCTCCAGGTTTACATTATCTTGAAGGAATGGTGCATGCAGAGTTTTACTAGCATTGGTGGCACGAAGCAAGCTCAACAGAATCATTGGTTTGTTTTTCATTGTTTTTAGCAGATGAGATTTGATAGTGAATGCTTTAGAATGGGATGGAAACTCCAGCCTGTTTTCTCAGGGTGGAAACCTTTTCCCCAGATTTTAAATTCCTTTCAATTATAGATACACTAAATACTTGCATGTTTAAAAAAAAAAAACAAACAAAGGGGAAAAAAAAAACCAAAAAACCACGTGGTCATCAGAATTTAACACAAAAAAGTGATTTGGCTGACATGAAAAAAAATCAGCTGAAGTAGAAAACACAGCATGGAAAGCTTCAGCCCAGAGCTTAAGTTTGGCAGCGTTACAAAGCAACAGAAACAGGGTCTGATGAGATGTGACAGGCAGCTTTAATCAAAACTGTAATACCAACTTCACCTATGACAAATACATAAAGGAAAGAGAGTAATGCCACCAAGTAAACACTTTCAGTAACTGCAGATTTAATTAAAAATCAATGATTAAGCAGGCAAAAAATGAATATTTATGAGTTATTATTACTCACTATAGTTTCACTTATCTTCAGCAAAAATATCAGCTGATCAAGATTATAAAAACCGATCGGTTTGGATGTCAAGTTTTATCAGATGATGACATGGATAATAAAGTCAAAATTAAGCCACAATCTATTTAGTTTCAGGACTAATAAATAAATTGTTTATGATGCTTCATGGTTAGCTGAGTAAGATCTGGGCATACCAAAATGTTATGCCCATTAAAGAGCTTATCCAAATGCTGATAGGCAAGCATAGTAATCCATCCCCCATCCATTACAAAAAACTAAGGGAAAAAAAAAAAATGAAGGTTATCAGCAAAACACTGTCTTCTGCAACTGTCAAATAAAGTTAAGCTTGACTTTGGAGAGATTTAGAGCTTGCTATTGGGGAAGGATTTTTAACAAAACACATGCAAGACTATAAAAAAAAGCAGTCAATTTCTCTGGGAAAACGAGTTGGGTATTTCAATTTACCGGGCGCAATCAGGAAGCCTTTCATCTAGATATCAGCTATAATGCAGGAAAGTGCTAAGCCAGTTCCACAGACTGCTTTCCTACCGTGCACTTTAACTGAGGGGAAAAAGAGCAGGAGGCAGTTAACTGTAACATAGATGGCATGAATATCATCTCACAGTATCAAGTTATCTGGCAGGAAAATTCTTTGAGGTGTATAGACCTGATCCCTAGCCCTGTGCAATCTATTCAACAGTCATTTTTCAGTCGTTTCTTTGCTATTTGTACTGGGACCATCTATCCATTTTACTTGTGGATGATTTATTCAATCTCTGTGACCACTGAAACTTTGCCTTCTGCTACCCCACCATGAAAATTTATTACTTTTTATTTGGAAAGAAATGAGTGCTCAACTCTCATCATGTTCCTTACGTTCCAGGTGCTCACCTTGTACTTCAGTTTTCTGTGGCTTATCAGTAAATGCTAACAACTGTGATCTGGACCGCTGTATAACAGGCAAGGCTGGGTCACTGAATGTTATGGTATCCTTTCCACCTGAAACAATCAAAGTGTTAGAACTGTTATATTAATTCATCAATTACATCCATTGTTCACTAATGATATTCAAACATATACTACCATTTTTTTGCAATGTTATTGAAAAGTACAGAACAGGAGAAGCATCTCAAATGATCCTTCTACAGCATGGAAAAAAATACTCTGTACTGGAGCTGGAATATGCAAGTCAAATACAGAAAAGGCATATGTTTTTACCTGCAGTACTGAGTAAAGGACAGATTTTGAAAGAAGACCACTGCTGCTGTATGCAGCAAATTGTATTAGCAATTAGCATTCAATTCAGAATATTAATAATCAGATCATACCAAAAGTTTTACAAAGAGTAATGGATCATTTGCATGCTATTACCAGCAAGTGTTCAGCACTGACTCTTTACTCTCTATTACTCTGCCTCAATGATGAACCTGCTCGTATCACATACGTAGTTTTACACTACAGACTCACACACATATTATCCTACGATGCTCCCTTAGAAAAAAAAATACTAAAAGCGTAGCATACTTAAGAACTGAGGGAGCAAACAAGCATACATTGCTGGGGAATAGGAGGGATTTTAATCTGAAAATTCCAAACACATTTGAGCATTTTCGTTTTAAGCCAAATGGAAAAGGGCAATTTTCCAGCTCTTTTGCAGACAAAATAGTGCAAGAAACTCTTCAGCTGAGGACTCTGCTGTAGATGCCTAGTCTTTACATATTTTAACAATACAGAAAGCAACACCTGCAGATCCTTTAGGAAGTCCTCCACTATTCGGGATGCTTGTGTTTTTAGTGACTGACACTGCCTTAAACCTAGAGGGGAAATGGCAGGAAATGTGCAAGATCAGCTAAGCGTGGTGTTTGTGTGGCCTCCAGAACAACTGCCAACTGATAAGTAATGGCTGGGGAGGCGGCAAGCTACTGCTCTATTTATCTTCATAAGAACGGACATTTATGTAACAACCACTTCTCCCCTCTAAATCTGTTTGTACGTTTCACCTTAAGGTAACACCCTAAATCTAATCACCCATCCAAGACAAAGACTTTCAAAAGAGCACCAGGTCAGGAGATACCCAGAATAAATCCAGCTCTGAGAAAGTTCTGGTACCTACTAAGAAATAATGGAGGTCAAGCTGTTCCCATGGGGAGTCTAACTGGACTACCCCTATCCCTAACTAATTTTGAAAGCACTGGCTGTAAATACCTTGATCCTGAAGGTATTAAGGACGTTTTTATATCCTTAACATGTTGGGGTATATACTGCAGCAATATGAATGCAATTAATGCTTTCGAAACATGGATCTTGTCGAGCTTTGATCCCCCTGTCAAGTATGCATCAGAATTCTGCCTTCACCATAGCAAGTAATAAAAATAATATTAACTAACAGCAAAGTGGAGAACCCCCCCAGTGTAAGGCAAAATTAATCAAAAATTTTTTTAAAAAAGGCAAAATAAATCTGATGGCTATTTCAAAATGCAAAAGCCCTAGATGAATGCACTTTCCTGTAACAGTAAACGAATTTTGTGTTGGAAGAAGAACTAAATCATACAGGGAAGTAGTGGTATGAAAACATCCAATAGATATTCATACACAGTCAAAAGTAGCCACATATCCAAAAAGATACAAAAGAATCCAGAGGAAGTAAAATTAAAAAAGATGATGAATAAAAAAAATGGGGGGGGGGAGGAGGCTTTAACAGGAAAGTAGGAAGCAGAGTCTTTTTCTTTTTCTTTTTTTTTTTTTTTAATAAAAAAAAGTAAAGCCTGAGCTAAAGTCCCTGAAGATTGCAAGACAAGCTTCAGAAAAGAAACTTCTTGTCTTCCAGCCAGCATTTACACAGTAAACACATTTACTTTCACATTTTTCTCTGAAAACCAACTTGGTTACAGAAAATAAAGCTAAGCTCAGTATCCACATATCTAAGCAACAGATGTGGCCCAAAGAGTCCGATGCATGTTTATTTATTAACAGTGACTCACATCCATTCACGAAGGAGGGACAAGGGGGTATTGCTGCACTATATTCTGTGAATCACGATCGGAAGTTGGTTTACACACAGGGAATTTCAATTAGCTGCCGTGTAAGCTCAATTTCATAACTTATATAGTTTTGTGTTCCTCTATTTAATGAATTTTTCAAGGGCTTTAGTGAAAAGTATACAGATCTCAAAATAAGCAGAAAAATAAGTTTTCAAGTAGTAGTAAATGCTTCATTTTCTTCTCCAGGGTTGGGTATCCTCTTATAACCTCTGCTGCACCCTATACCGCTGTAACTGGCTATACCCACAGCAGCTGCTGAGCCCATTAATTCTACCTTGCCTCTGCTCCATGCTGATTACTGCAGAGCAAGAGGCAGCGCCGAAACTTTCTTATCATCCCCGACAGAAAAAGGCTGAGTCATGGTCAGCTCTTTTCTTAGGCTTTTTTTCAGTGGAAATCGGGAATTTTCAGGAAATGATAGATTTTAAAAAATACAGAATTACTTATCTGAATGTTTGGTGACATCAAGTTGTGAGAGGAATAAGGTGGTGTTCACTATGTACTATTACTCAATAGTAACATATTATGCATGCATATTTGAACCACAATGTACCTAAGACAAAGCAAAGAATTAAATGCTTCTGTGAACACCACATTCTCTGCCTCCTTCTCAAGGCAACTAGGCTTATAAAAAAAAAAAATCAGAGCCAAACCTATGCCCAAGCTTGCTTGCTTTTCAGCAATGAACCTCACAAAAGATTCATTTAATTAAAGCCCATTTTCCAAATATGGGAAGCTAAAGTTTGTGGTAGGCAGAACTTCTACAGAAAATGAGCTATGCTACTAGTTTCACCATTTCAAAAATTAAACATGCCCTTCCTCTTGATTTAGCTTCCCCATAGTTCATTCATGCATTGCTCAAAAAGCAGATGACAAATATGTCACCTAACAAAAAATTAGAAGCGGTCAAGCTCTTTCTTCAGTAGGATAAAGTTTAACAACATCATTTATTAACACCATTTGGAAGATATTATTATCATGGTGACAGTGGATGTTATAAATGTTATATGGACAATGATGCCTAAGTAGGAACATTAACTTCAGATTAAAAACCTGCAATTTATAATGTGTGTTTCTTTCAGTGCTAGACTGAACATCAGCTTTCATCTGCATATTTTTTCTAATGATAAAAAGTTCAATTCACAACCAAATAATAAATTTTTTCTCTCTGGATTTAAGACTGACTAGATGAGATACTCTCCATGTTCTGCCCCTCACCCAAGCCAACATTCAGCTGCAGAGTCCACTGTGGTAGTTCCCACCCTATTTGTTACAAGCTGCTGTTTTATGGAGTGGAAGCTTTCCACGCTCTGAAAAGAAAATTGGTGACCCATCAGGTGTTGCAGGGCTCTTTCTGACCTTGGGACTAGAGTGCACTTGGAAACAAAAGTGCACTCTTGATTTAAAAGGCAAGCAGCAAATCAACAAACCTTGGGACTCAACAGAACTTGCAATCCAGTGTAAAATTCCTTTACAACTATTTAAGATCATCCTTTCTTACTATTTTCCTCAATTTAAAGGAATTGTCTTGTAGAGCAGTCTCCATTTCTCTTGTGGTCATCTAACTCACTTGACTGAACATCTTAATCTATCGGATATAAAAATGTTCAGATAACATTTCCGTTTATTTACATGCAGTGACAATATTTAACGTACTGCTAAAATCAGTTACTAAAAATATACGTCAAGCAGAACCTACTCCCAAATCCCACTGAGACATTGTAGCTCAGGCCTTCAGGCAGCAAAAGAAAGGAAGGAAAGAGACAGTTGTTATTGTATAAACATTAATTTGATGTCTTACCTACATAGACCAACGATGGTACAAGAAGTTCCCGCTGTTCCATTTTTTTTAATACATTTTGCAAAGATTAGAAATGTTGCTTTTATTAGTGTATTAATTTCATGGAACACTGTTTTTGAAAAGAAAACTACAGTACCTTAAACTGGTGAGTTTATGATACACATTTGTACTAATGTACAAAACCGCATTAGGAGGGTCTTAGACAAATATTTCACCTGCATCTTTTGGAGAATGTAGGGAGGGACAAATGCACTAAGTATACTATGTATGTTAGGTGACTAAGTGAAGTGACTAAGTGGTGAAGAGTAATCCATGGAAACAAATTTGGGACCTTCAGTTCTGGAAAGCGTCAATAACAGAGCTAGTTCCAGAAAGGTGACTGAGAATGCCTACAAGGGGCAAGCTAAAGTGGAAATACACATCAGGCCAAACGGCTGAACAGTTTGTCAGAAGGTCTCCTCAGCTTTCTCAAATGTTTTCTTCTAGATGGAAAGGTTAGGTGGAAAAAACACAGAGCCAAAAAACTAGAAGCCTAAACCACACTATCTCCCACCCCCAGCAGCACTGATGGGAAGCTGTAAACAACGAAGCCTAATGATGCAAACACCAACAATGGAGTAGCATAATTTACAGTGGTTAAAGAAGACACAATTAGGTGTAATGGGAAGAAAAGAAGCAAAAAGTAAATGTAAATTAAATATTGCACATTTTCCTAACAGCGAGGTCTATTAGGAAGCAGATTAATCCCCCATTACTCGAGTAATTCAAAACCAAATACAATACTTAAGATGCTACAGGGAATAAGCCTGTTCTGGAGAGATGGACTAGAAAATTTAAGTTCATTTACATTTCCAATTTCTCAGAGTTTATAATTCTACAGAAAAACATTAAAAATACAGCGATAAAATCCATGGAAATTACAAGAAGTACAAAATTAATAAATAAAATTTGTTGAAAAACAGAATGGCCAATATCCTGTGTATTATTTTATACAACTGTTTAAATAAAATAGTTCCTTTTTTTTTTTGCCTGCAGACTATGGAGACAATGTGATTATTTCCAGTATTTGAAACTTTTTTTTTTCAGTATACATATCTGACTTAGAGTTTAAAGAATCTAGTGATTTTTGACTTCAACTTAACATTTATTAGAGGTTTCTAATTTTGCAAATGTGCTGAACAGCACATTCACAAAACAACTGTCATTAAAAAAATTACAGCCAAGCTTTTCTTAAATGCAAATATACCCTCGAAAACTAAATAATGCAAGCTGTTCTCTTGAATTTTTACTAACCTGGAAGACTCCACAAGCCAGCGATTTCCAAAGTTCTTAATTTCTTTTCTAGTTCAGCTACTCGATTACCTAGAATTCTTCGGAAAAAGAAAACAAAAACAAAAGCCAGGGATAGTCAGCTGAGATGAGATTCCCTGTTATACTAACGTAACCAAAGCCCAAAGCCCAATTGCTTACATGACTACAGTTGAATTTTTAACTTTTTACTTAACTAGTGCAGTAAACCTGTATACAGTCATCTCTTTTCACTAATGGCAACAGATAACCTCCCCCAGAGTTAAAAGAAAATGAAGTATAGTTCTCTAATCTATTCCATGTTTTTTTTAAAAAAAAAAAAAAAAAGATCTAGGATGTACTGGACATTCATCCTTTGCCCTTCAGTAAAGACAAAGAATAGCAACTCACAATATTTCTACTTCCTTGCCTGCAAATATCTCTTCCCGGTTACTTTTTCTTTCTCTACAGCTAAAACCAGAAGGTAAAAGCTATGCAGACAAAATATGGAAAACTCAAGACAACATCTAGCTTGATTTTGAAGTTCTAAGACACAATTTTCACCTAGTTTCTCTATCACTAAGCTTGCTTAAAATAGCAAGGGATCTTTTCCACTACATCTTTTCTTTTAGTGCTGAACTCTGTTTTCTACTTTACTAAAAAGCTTCAAGCTCTTCAGTGCCTTTATCACCCACTCTTAGTTTTCACTGCATTTCTTGGGTCATCTCTTCTTTTGTATCTGATTCCTACACAAATACTATTTGCAGTTAGCTCTCCTGCAGGATTTAACTTTTAGTCTTAATTCTCTCCCAAGATCAAATGAGAGATTCTATCTTGCAAAGAGAGCTCTTTTTTCCAATGAATTTTTGAAAGTGTTTCTCTCACAGGCACAGCAAGTCTCCTAGAGTTAAAAGTCTTTAAATAAATCCCAAACAATACTCAATAGAGTGAGAAACCCAGATGAGGCAGCAATTCTAAACATGACAGCAGAGATAATGGACAGCAAGTTTTACTCATCAAATTACAGCAACAGGATAAGTCAGTTAAATTTGAACTGAATGCTGAGAAGCAGCATATCACAACACAGCAAGGCAATAGTATCTTCCCATGTTCACCAGAGCTGTGTAATACTCTGGAGAGCTGCGTGCTCTCCACCGAGGGTTTCATGCTGCAGACATTTGAGCATACTGGGAATGTCATTCCTGACAAGACGGCAGAATCTGGGAAGGATGTGAAGAACTACAAACCCAGCAAATATCAAAGGCGATAGAAAAATTGATTAACAAGGACTAGGTATTTTTGAAATCTCTACTGCAATGACACAATAAAAGTCTGTAAGTATTTTAAAGATTACAAAAATATCAAGATGAGAGAAAGAATGTAAAAGAGAAAGAGAAAGCTGATAATAAATATCAAAGAAAGCACTGAGAGGTACAGGAGTGTATATCAACTAAAAAGCAAACAGTCCATCACATTTACAAGCAGAGAAGAGAAGACATTTGGGAGTAGTTATGTTTATTTCCCCATTGAAACTCAGTAGTCAAATAGGTGACTGAGGTTATGGTGGATCTATTACTGTCTTCTCCAATTACAATCAAAAATGTTCAAGTCTAGATTTCGCTTTCAGAATGCTTCCATCCGGTATGAGAGACTCAGCCTTAATGACCCTATTTTCATACCCCAGTGTATGGCCCGACATCCAGCAACTGCGCTCTGCAGTACAAAGCAACAGGTGACGGAGAAAGGCACAGAGCAACTTACAAGAAGCTCTACCTCGCGCACAGGGAGCCCACTCCCATCTCCCTGTCTAAGGCCCCACCAAAGGTCAGATGAAGGACGTGGAGTTTCCCTGGCTTAGAGGAACAGAGATGATGCAAGACTTCTTCCATGTCATGTTAGCTCAGCCAGGGAGCCGACAAGACAAAGTTGATGTGGCTAATGATTGTCACCTCAAACGGGTCATGAGTTTAGCACTTCTGCCAGGAAAAGAAAAAAATCCATATTATTTTCATAATTCATATAATCCATATAATTTTCATAGTTCACTAGTAGTTCCAGGGCAGAAAAGGGGGGGAAGATACTGCCCTCCCTGTCACCTAGCTGTATCATGGAAGGAAACTCAACCCACTACATCAAGTTCAGTTATTACTACTGCTCTTTTTATTCAGACAACAATATCAAAGTCACTTTTCTCTTGCTTCTCTTAAATTTTATAATTAATTTATCACCTGTACCACGCCATTTCTAAAGGGTTTCGAGCAAATATATCCTGATAATTCCTACTGGATCCTCAGAAGAGGCACTGAGCTATTTTTCAACCTTTGCTGTTGCAGCTTCTCACATAGAAGGATCATTCTGTGGCTCTGAACAATGGTTGGCGAATAGAGAGGACAATACTTAACCCTGCTCCTTTCATTCAGGAAGAGAGCAAAACATATTCAGTGATGAGTATGATTCTAGTTTGCTCCAAACTACATTATCTGAAGGCAGGTATGGGAGAAATGAACCCTACATAAAGCTGTGAGTTCTTACGGAAACATTTTTTGAAAAATAAACATATAAGCAATCCTGAACACAGCGTGGTTCATCCCATTCCCTCCTTTCCCCTGTGACCTCCAGATAATTTGCCACCTCCATATGTGCTGTGGGAAGACTGAGCTGTGGTGGCCTGGAACAATAGGTATTTTTAAAGGGGCTGCATGGTTGGTAGCATCAAATTCCCTAATCTATTTTTTTATCTCTAGCCATAGTGGACTAGATCCTTTGACTATAACAGAAGGATCATGTCATGGACAAAGGTGCCGATAGCTATTTCTGTTGTCCTCTGGTCATGTGTCTAATGCAACAAGGGAGTTAGTCTAAACCTCCCTCCAGGATAAGGTTTTACAGAAATCTGTTGTTCACAGCAGCAATGCTCCCACCTGAATTTAGAAGCTCCCTTCTAGCTCTCCCATGCTTCCCAGCATATATGGCCATAATCTGAAGGGAGCTGTGCTGATTTACAGCACCTGAGCTCTATTTGGCTCACTTTCAATTTAGATCTTTCTACAGAAACCATATACCCTCATACAGATACAATCACCCAAATATCTGTAAATAGGGTCTGTCATGGTCACATATCTAGTTCTATACAGCACATGGAAACATTTACTCAGTTACAGACTGACACAATCCTTTTTGTAATTTTGGTCATGACTGAGCTTGCTCAAGTTAGAAATGTTAAAATTAGTGCAACATGTCTAAGCAGCAGAGCAGCTTCCACACTGATCTGGCTTGCATGGGTGCTGGCAATTTCAGGAACAAATTGCACTAAAAAGAATATCTAATAAACGGTTTATTGCTGGTAGAAGAAAAAAAGATTTTTATCCACTTGCTAGACAGAGTTAGGACTGTTTATTTTTGCATTTATGTAACTATTCAAACTTGCAACACATTACCGCATACAGAATTCATTTACAACTGCCTTTTCGAACTAAACTAATGTGCTTGTGAGGAAAAACATAGGATGTTACTTAAACTTAGCAGTAGTAGCTACCAATCACCTGGGGAAAATGACCTGTTTTCTTTCCAAACAGCTTCTTTTTTTCTTAGAAGTGGGGCTAACAAAATTAAAGGCTGGATTTAGCCCACTCGTTCCTAGGCACATACTCCCACAGCTCCTTTTATCATGCCACATATTTAGAAAAGTGGCAATAATAATAGTGTGTCTGTTCCAAGAGCAAGTGGCAATGGATGTTTTTAACAACAGTGTAACAGCAGAAAGTCAACTTCAACAGCACATCCAAATTCTAATCTACGTAAAAAAATTCACTGTCTTGTTTTTGCTTCAGTTAATCAGAAAGCAAATCTACCATTCTGCTATTGTGAACTTATATAGTCATATCTCAATCTGCAAGCAACAAAAGAGGTTCTGACTTTAGAGTCAGTTACCTGTTTCGATGAAAATAAGTTCATATGGTCTGAAAAGTCTAATTTACTGATAATAGAATCACTAATAGGTCAATCATCTATCAAGTATCAAAAGCAGAACTTCTTCCCTGAATGAAATAACCACCCCAAAATCTCACATTCTGTACCCAATGGAATCTTACCGTCTTCACACAACAATCTGAAAGAGTAACTGTCTTCCAAAAAAGCTCTTTGCACAGGGAAAGCCAGGCAAACAGGACAGAGGGGTGAAGAAGACTTCTACCTTCTGATTTATGTAAAACCTTTTGTCATTACAATGCTCTCTAGCCCCACATCCTTCTCAACTTCCTACTTTGAATGGAGAAATGTCTTCAACAAAAGAATGCATCTTCTACTCGTACCAGTTTATGGACCTGTCCATTTTACTTGTGCACTGACCTCACTCTCACCTCTAACCTTCTCTGACAGGTGGGCAGTTTCTTCCCTGTTTTCAGAAGTCAGCAGTCTTTACTTGTAACTTTTTACATGGCAAATAAGTGCCCCCAACAACCAGCTAATGCACCTCAAATAAAGGATGTTTTTCCCTGATGTCCTACCTGCATTTCCCTTTTACGCTTTAACCCTTCTATGTCTTAGGTGTTTCTACTTGAAGTAGTTTCCATTTCTCCTAGCTCCTTAAAAGCTTCTTTAATCCAACTAAAGCCAAAGGTGACAAAAAGAATGAGCATACCACATAGCAGTGTTGCTGAGGCTCTTCACTCAACTTGCCCAGGATTTGTCTTTCTTCTTTTTCCCCTGAAGCATCCTGAACTGAACACAATACTACAGCTCTGAGCACTCCTGACCTGGGAGAAATGTGGACTGTCACCTCCCTCTAAGATCTGATCTTCTATTGGGCATAGAATATTAGTTTGTGCACACATCCAATCTCTACTCCCGTGGCTATATATGACCAGTTGGGCACACAGATAAAAGAATCGTATCTCCTTGTGAAGGCTTAACTCAGGCAAACCCATACTCAATAGTTGAAAGCAGAGACAGTGGTATCAGAAAGTAAAACCATCATCACAATGATACAGTTGAGAGATGCAAGAAACCGCATGTAATCAAAGAGAAATACAAAATTAAGAAAGAAGTTTGCTATGGTTATAGGCAAGTGTATGCAAACTAGAACATCAGGTAATGATACAGTATCAGGATGTAAAAGGCAAAGATTGGTTATACTTGAAATAACAAGTGTTATTCTCTGGATGTTTTCCTTCTGGTGTTACATTAGCAGTAAGAAAGGAGTAAGCAGGTATTAGCCCTTCATTAGCACTGCTCAGTGCAGGAACTCCTCTTGCATTACGCGACACACTTATAGACACGAATTGACTGAGCTGCCATCAGTTAGATCTGGGCTACATTTTCACCGCTTTAGTCTCCCTTTAGCTGATTAGGCATTTGCTTTCTCAAGAGTATTAAGAGTGGCTATAAACTGCTCTTCCACTTCTGTTGCCACATCACTAAGAATTATGTAATGGAGTCTGCCTAGCATCAAAGTTATCAATTTTCAAAATGAATCATCTATTCTAGTGCAATACAGTTTACTTCAGTACTACTCCTTCCTTTCATGAAAGATGTCTGCCTCTTTCTGGCATCTGGTCCTGATGTGCTTTTGAGAAGCCTGAATAACCTCTGATTACCAGTAGTGACTCAGTGTTTAAAAAAAAAAAAAAGGAAAAAAACTGAGCACAGAACCAAGGAACACTTCCTAGCTCTGATTTTCATATACTGTATAAGGACAATAATATCAGAATGTCAGAAAATGTGTCAGAAATTATTATATTCTGCCATGATAGGAGCTGTGAGACACAAAGAATTCTACTGATGAGTAGAACAGCTAAGAGTAAACAAATTCTCCTTCGAAGTTCAGTTCAGATTTTTAAAAAATCATATAGTAGCAATCCAACTGTGTTTATCTTCTACAACTTTTGGCAAAGTAACTATAGGAGCAACAGCTATCATTTGTATGACACATAGGCTGCTAGCCTGTGACAAATGTTACACTAAATCTTTTCAGACCCTTTCCTAGGTGCAACATTTACTATTCCCACCAGTGTTCATTAGCAAATTCCTACATTAACAACCAATTACCACATCTCTTCTCCTCCAGCTCAAGGGTGTCCTTCCTCCTGGCAGCTTTTCTTTAGCCCTCCCTACAGACTATCTGCTAGAAGTCCCCCCTGTGTTATTATGCTTTGTCTTAAACCTGAGCAGCAAACCAATCCTTGCCTAGCAGAGGCAGACAGGTCTCTGTCAACTCCAGACTTGACTTTGAAATGTAATTTTTCTCTAAACACATAGCTGATCTTAAAAACTAAAGAACCCACCACTTAACAATAACAATGAATTTTCTGTGAAAATGGACCTTCTTTCCCATTTCCCTGAAACTCCCCCAAAACGATGACTTTTCCATAGCTTGGTTAAGTTCTATTTTACTTAGAAGTCATGCTACCTACTTGTTGGTTTGCCTTTGGTGTTGTATGACCATGTTTTTTTCATGGATAGTTTCCAGCAATGCAGTGGCCAGTGATTTGAGATCTGAAATGGACTGTGGTGTGGCTGGTAGGCTACATCCATGATCCTCCGACAACAACTCTTGGACTATAATGTTAAAAACACAAATGAGTTTTGGCTTCTCATGCACAGAGATGTGACACAAACATTTACTTAGCATTAAAGAACTATGCTCATTACTTGAATGAATACTTATTTATTTCCTTCAATTAACAAACAAAGCCAAAAGACCAGAAATATAATCTCTAGCTGGCATAAAGATGGTGGCTTTCTAAGTTGATCGTTATTCCACAGCAATTGCCAGAACAAGCATAGGCAGACACATCTTATGTTAACTTAATTCTGCTTTTGGAAATTTATTTTTGTTCAGAAGGAAACAAACTCATTCTTCTACAGACTGCTAAAAATTGGTCATTTCTCTCCCACTTACATTAAAACATAAGCCCACGAGGAAGCTTTTATACTACTTCTTAGAATTATTATATCCTTCAGTTTATTTAACACTGATGTGAAAATACAGTCACCTATGAACTCTTCCTCTGCAGCTTAGAATCTGTACCTCTCAACCACATCAGGAAGTTCACTAGTATCATTAACTTCTGTAAGTAGAATCTCGCTCTGCCTCTTTTTTTTTTTATATATATATATACACACACATATACACACACACATATATATACACACACACACATATATATACACACACACACACGTATGCAAGTACATGGAGAAGAGGACAGAAAAGAAGTCAAAAACAGAAAAGCAAGTTTCAACCTACCATGACAAATACTACTGATCTCGTGCGTGCGTATGAATACACCAACACCTAAACAGTAGGGTGCCAGGTTTGGCTCAAATAATTTTCTCTTCTCCTTTCTTTACGCCATTTTGCAATCCCATGAAGAAACATGGGACAAAAGGATTTCTTGCAAAACATCTGAATGTAAAAGCTTCCAAGAACATGAGCAGAAAACCTGACTTAGGGCCCCTCCTCTACCACCGAGTCTATTTTTCATTGGAATATGAATTGTGATTGCCATTTTAGCAGAGCAAAGAGTTGAATAAAAAAGTGATTTGTCAGGGTCAAAGTTGCAGAGGAGTTTAGAGATTAAAAAAAAAAAAAAAAACCGATAAAACTAACGGGAGAGAATGAATGGCAAAAGAGTAACAAAAGGAGAAGCATTACTCAAGAGGCAAATTTTGTATTGTCAAGTCAACTGAGAAAAGGACAAAAACTAGGACATGATAATAAACAGGAAAGAGAAGAAAGATTTTGGTTTGGTTGGTGAGGAAAGGGTTACTGAAATTAAGAGGTAAAATGGAAGGAATTCAATGAGATATGCAACACCATGCTGCATTTATGTAATACCTTGCTTTGCAGACAGAACTCCAGTCAGAGCACTGCTACTGGATCTACTATGAGCCTTTGAATTTTTTCGTCTCTCTAGTGCATTCTAAGGAAACAACAAATATCTTATTTAGAAAAACAGTAGCCAACAAATCCTTTCATTAAGAGTAAAGAATCTGGAACTTTGGATTTTGGTCTCAGAACAACTCTGCAGGGCCTGGAGCTTACACCCATAGTAACCTATGGGAGTATGACTCTCCTGAAGTATTATTCTCCAGCCAAAATAGTCTTTGCAATGTTATGAAGACTCATCCTGTCTCATTGCAATCACTTTATTGCAGTCTCTCCCACCCACTCCCCCCAATGCATTTTTAAGACTTGCCTATTTTTTAATAATCTGCTGAGTGCCAGTGAAGATACTGCAGTATCCTGTAGAGAATATCAGTTCAGACTTTCCCCAGCATTTTTTTAGATAGGCATCAAAGGGAAAACTCAAACTCCTCTATCAGAGTTTCTAAAAGCCCTTTTAGTAGCAAACACTGACTTTGAGGAATTGGCAGCAGAATGATCCTGCTACAGAAGGATCCAGCTCTTCCAAAACAATTACAGTTCTGTGAAACCCACCAGACCACCAAGATACTCAGTTCTCACCAATAAACTAACTCACACTCCGAGAGACCCAAGTCATAAATGTGAACAGACACTGAAATGAACGTGGTACTTTGAGGAGCTTTGCTCATACACAAAAAGCAATTAGTGCTGTGACTGCTTCATAGTGACCTAAATGATTAAGAAGTCCTATTGGCAGTCCTAAGACAACACTTCTCATGCCCTGACAAGCAGCCCTCCCCTCCCACAACCCAAAATCACTTGCAGAAGAAAATAGAGTGCTTGACTTCAGTGAGAAGCAAGAATATTTTGCCCTCAGGATTCAGTCCTGAAGGTTTCATGCAAAACAGCATATATCTTAACCCAGGAATGGAAGAACAATGAAGACTTAGCAATCATTAAGACATGAAGAAATAGTGCGGCCATTAGGGAACGGGGAGACAAGACCTGCTTGTGACAGCAACACAGCTGCAGTCATTCACCACACACTGCGTGACCTGCTACTTTTCACCCACCAGCAGGCTGGAAGGCTGATCACCCTCACTAGCAGGAGGAAGGTTCCCCCACAGAACTTAAAAAACGGTATTTAATTCATTTTTCAAAGTACTATTAATGGGTATCCCTTTGTACTACATCAGCTAAGAAGCCTACAAGGAAGACTGAGCATGTGATGTGTATACATACTAATATTGTCAGGATGTTAACGGTGGATTTTTCTTTGAAGACACAATTTTGTTCTTTAAATGCATATGAACATGAGAATGAACAATAACCTCCATGAACAACAAAACACAGTTTAGATGCTACGCTGAGAGGATCTTACCTTGTATTTAGTAATATTAGACTTAAGAAGGTTGATTTCCTCTTGAAGTTGTTTTAATCTCTCTTGAAGATACCTGAAAAAAAATGTAATCCTTTACTTCATGTTACCTTCAAATACTGCCTCAAGCGCTCCTCTCTACTATTTCGCATGTCCTCTCTTTGAACTACTGAGAGTTCTTTTCCCCCTGCAGTTTTGTGAGGGATAAAACAACAAAATCTTACTGCTCTTGACCCCACAAAACTTGAAGTAGGGAAACAAATTGCATCAGAAAAGGAGGCTGCCCTTCTGTTAGATTTGTCAAGCATGCTGCACAACCATTTTATATCGATCCTCAGGTTTTTGGGGAGGGAAGCTAAATGGATATATTTATGTCTAGAGGAAATAGTCAGGAAGCGTTTACTCATGTCCTCTGTACTTGAAGGTTTGTGAGATGGACACATGAAGATTTGTATACATATATCAGCACAAGACTCAACTATGCAGAACTTTTGCATTGCAATATCCATCACTTACATGGCAATTCTCATTAGCAATCACAAAGTAGAAAATTTAACAGTATAGTTGAAAAATGGTATACAGCTAACAGAAACAGTACAGTTCTTCCGAATAGTTTATGCACTTGGATTAGATGGCTATTTTGACATAGGAAAACACCTTTTTCATGTATAAAGGGTTTATAAAATATCCTCTTCCATGTAGTGCAACTGCAGCTGTATTAGGGTTTGTGACAATTTAACTATTTTAGAGAAAAAAAAAAATCGTATCACTGTCAGGGGAACAGGGGGCTTAAATTGATACAGCACTCTGTAGGCCTCGCAAAACAGAAAAAAAACCTGGAGTTGCTGGGAGAAAGTAATGCCTTTGGTATTACACTTTCGTACCTGAAGCATAAGTCTCTGTAAATGGAAAGTGTCTTACAAGATCTATTTCACTTTAAGGTAATTGTTGACTTTAAGGGAGGTACCTGCTATGGCTCTGTCAGTGACTCCTCTCTGTGGTCCTTAGCAGAGACCATAAAACACATTCTTTTCCCAAGGAAGTGGCAAGAATATCTACATGGGTGATTTCACCAGCAGCTTCTGCTGGCAAATCACTCCATGTTGACGGCCTCTCCCAGTGGTGAGAATTATGTCCGAAACTGTTAACTCAGGGTACTCAAAGTCCCTGTTCCCAATCCAAGATTAGCCCATTACACCTCACTATGAGTTTCTGAAGACACCGATTTTTAATATTCTTGCTTTTGGTGCCATACAGTGAAGGGAATAAACAGGTCTGCACTTCTCTTCCTTTTCCTTGTTTAGTTCTATTTGGAAATATCACTGACATCTCTGTAGCCAAATAAAACATTAGTAATTTCCTGCAGCCTAACTTTCTCAACATTATTTGATGGTTAGCTGCAGTACAAACAAAACAGACAAAACAAATTACCAAAATCTCTTAACTTTTATTCTTGGATATATTTTCTTTAAAGTTTTGTTGTGACTGACTTCCTGATGCTCTGGTTAAAGCAATACACTGCTTCCTCTAGGGAAACAGTAAGGTTTGCAATCCACTCACCTGTTCTCCATACATAGAGCATCTATGTCGATGATACGATTTTCATGCCCTCCTAGGACATGATTAAGTTCTTGGTTTAGTCTGTCAGACTTATCTTGGTAAAAAGAACGTTCCTCTTTCACATCCTGTAACTCATCCAGTGCAGCCTGAAGATCATATCTCAGACTCTCGATCTGAGAAGAAAGGAGAGCTGTATGACTATTTTGAAGTTTAAACAAAAGATTACATGGCACCCAAACTGAAAACAGCAACAAGCACTGCATGTCTGAACAGGATTGATTTTCGACAGTCAAAAGTCTTTCCAAAGCTCATAACCACCAGTACTTTTACTCTATTTTGGTATTATTTCGTTGATTTGAAGTTAAGTAACTTTAGCAGTTAGACTTGTTTTACAAAATTTCTAGAAAACAACTAAAATGTAACAGCAAAAGAAACCTTAATCCATACTATAATTCTGCTACAAACATATTAAGCTGGTTTAAACATAAAATTTATAGGACTCCAGGAATGAACTGAAAAACAATTTGGCAAATTTGGAGGTTGAAGAAAAAGTCTGTAAGGGAAAATTTATACTAATTACGGGACTTTCAGCAATGAAGTTCCACAGAATAGGAAGAAGAACTGAGAAAAGTACAAAATAACCAAGCATGGAGTTGACACGGTGAGCTTTGCTATTAAGCAAAAAGCGTGAAGGAGCCCACTATGAAAGATACTCAAGGACAAAGAGCTTCAAACTTCCAAGGAGAGGAAACGGGAGAGTATGAGAAAAGTCTGCAATGAGTTGAGAAGTCTCCACTGGCACCTCAGAAAACACTGATAAGCCAGGAAGGACAACAGAGGACCATGTGAAAAGAGGCCAGATGAACAGAGAGAGCACGAGCTTGGGAACAAAGATACCAGAGAGAATCACATTGGAAGAAGACCAAGTGCAGTCAACAGTCCTTCTGGTAAGCTAAAGTAGTGATGCATTTGAGTAAAGACTGAAAAACAAGAAATACGCACCTCTTCCTGATCACAGAATGGCTCATTCAGGGTGGAACTGACATTGGTAGGAATGAGTGCGGGAATGACAGAGAAGACAAACCCCCAGAATTGTCCGGTATTGGGGACTGGATGCTGCATGGTACATAGTATTAATACAGACTTGAGGTAGGAAAAAGAGGTCGGATGCAAGAATTTTTCAAAAGAGGGAAAGAAATAGCTAAGAAGCAGGAAGAAGAGGAGACTAACAACACTTCTACAGAAAATTTGATTCAGGGAATATCTTTAGGAGATGCATCAGTCACCACATATTGTGCTGAATACTTGTAACAGCTTTCATTAAGGAGTCTCTTTCATAGACATTCATTGACAACATTCAGTTGTCACAAGTTGTTGCTGCACATTATAAAAAGAAGAGAATCAATAATCTAGAGAAGGAATTCCTGAGATTAGGAAACTCACTCGAACAATGTATGCATGTTTAAGTTAATGCTCGGTAAGAACTATTTCGGTAAAAATACCAACACCTTCACCACTATTTGCAATGTTAATCAGCTACCAGCCCTCCAAACACAATAGAATTAGTCATTTAGTTGCACTAGCTCTGTAAAACTTGACAGTATATGCCCATTTAGTTATTACCTGTTCTCGAGCCTTCTCCAATTGTTGAACAAGGTCCTCCCGTTCATGTGCTGCAAAGTGGCGAGCCCCAACTTCATCATCTCCAAGTCTTTGCTTTGCTATTGTCATTCGAAGGAGCTGCAATTACAGAAACAGATTTGGTAAGCAAGAGAACAGAGGCTGTAGCATCAAAGTACATCTGCATTAGAACGACTAACGCTGTCATAGATTTCTTGGCTTCCAGGCCAAACAGCTGGTATTATTTAAACCAGAGGGAATTTTCTGAGCTGAGGGCTCAATCCTGTTCTCAGTGAAAAATTCCAGTCGAACACTCAAAGCATCAACAGGAGCTGAATTAGACCCTGCAACAATAGTCACCAGAGTATACAAATGATGAAAGACCAAGTAAACACAGACACGTGGCCAATGTTTTTTAAGAGTGACAGGAACTAACTGTGGTCAGACTAAAACTAGAGAATTCTCAGAAAGCCATTTTCATATGTAAATCTTAAAACTCTCTGCAGCAGAAAACTTTTCCTAGTTAAGAATAAAAAGGCACGAAGTGGCTTGCCCAGCTTAATTTTACGGATACCACTTAAAATCCCACTACGTTACATCAGTGCAGAATTTGCATTAACAGCTGCTAATACATTTGCTTGTGCATTTTTTTTTCATTTACTCACAAAAGTTAATTCATGTTAAAAACATGAATTAAAAAAAATGGGCCAACAACAAAAAGATTTGGCCAAAATGCTCAACCAGCTAATGAACTCATAAGCTTTGTGACTGCTGAAAACAGTCTGACTTGAATTAATACACAGTTATATTCAATATCCAAAGCAAAAAGCGACTACCTTTCAGGAATTATAGAGTATTAAAATAACAGTCTATAAGGCATTCAGCATTTCCAGGTGTTTATACTGAGTACAACTACGCAAAAATATTGCCTCCCCATGGCCTCATTTGTAGGAGCTCCACAGAGACTAGAGAAACCCACCACAATAACCAGCCATATCTTTGACTGCACCAAGGAATTAATGTACATCATTATATTGCAGAGTTAGGAAAAAATCAATCTTCTGAACTGTACATTAAAATCTATCTTTGGTATTTATGGGATGCCAGTCATCATAACTGCAATGTGTCAATTAAAATCCTGCTGATGCAAGACAGACTACCAAAATCATCCTCCCCACTTATTTCAGCTCCAGTGCAGTGCAAGTCGCTGAAGCTAGTACAAGTTGTTCTGATAAGCAGTTCACTTGTTCAAGGGAAGCTGTGCCCCCAAAAGCAACTGGTTTTGGCAAACTACATTTCCCTATCCCCACAGGGAAGTACAAACCACTCTACAGCTAGTGAGGCAGAATGGACCCTAGGAGATATAATTCCTATTAATTTCTTTTTCAAAACAAGTAAGTCAAAAAGGCAACCAGCAAATCCTGGAATGGCTTCATGGCTATGGGACTGGTTTTTTAAATGCTAAAAGACTGATGAACAAAAGGTATGCTAATGTGATTTAATTCAGTTAGATTAATTTAATTTCTAGAACCTCTTGCTAGTGAGAAAGGCAGTAAGAAACAAATGTAATAACATTTTAAGGACTCAATCTTGTTCAGAAAAACTGGAAATGGGAAGGAGAATCACACTTTACCAATGCCTCCAATGCCTGCAGCAGAGCAAAACTTCTGTGTAACGCTCAGCACCAGGCTGGGAACTGGATCAGAGCTGTGACTCATACACTATGACCAACTCTCCTCCAGCCCAGGAGGAGGTGAGGCATAAGATGCAATTATAACTGCAAGCAATTATTACTTGCAAGGTCAAACAGTCTGCCAATAAAAGGAGAACTCTTTATTTACTATTAATTTTGATGTGAAAAAAATATGTATGACATCTTATGAAAAGAATGCTTCAGAAATCCAAATTCAGCCAGTAAAAGCAGCATTATAAACATACATAAAATAAAGTAAAATACCAATCCATAAAACGACAGAGTGCTTCTTCCAGACAGTTGGCCAATCAGAGAGTTGACAGGGCAGAACAGGCCAAGTCCTTTAATTCTGCATTGCGAATGTCTCATGAGGCAGCACCACCTGCTATAAAATTCTTCCCTGAAAATGCTGTGACCCAAAGAGACACTAAGCGTTATGCCAGAGGGTTAAGGGTTTATTTCATATATTAGTGCTTTGTTATAAACTTTATACACCTGCCCTCTGGCTGCTGTATTTTTATTTCTGTCATTCAGAAATCACTGAGGAAAGGACCACTCAACTTCATTTTGCAGCTAGAGAATAGGTTAACACTACCCCTCAGGATTCTGTGAACAGCATCCACAGCAGAGTGGATTTAAATTAATGGCACCTTACCAAAGATAGCTCCTGTTTGTCGAGAACGCATAGATTGTTAACCAAAACAATCCAGTGCAAGCCACTAGTCTTTATTATTTTAATATCACAGCTTTTTCTTAATCAGTGTCAGCTAAAATAATTACTTATGAAGTAGCTCTGTAGCAGCCCCACAATGCCCCAAACATGCTTCACTGCAATAGCTGCTGTGCAGGCTAGGAGTCCACAGACAATGCCTACGCCAAAGTTGTACATTCCTGATTATTAATAAAATATGCAGAAGGAAAAGGGAAACAAGAACAAGCAGTAAATTCTTCATGGAAGGCAGAAACCCTCATGTTTAGCCACAGTCACCCACAGCAATTGTCTTTACCACGTTGCCTACAAAATCTTAAAAAGTGGACCAGAACTATGAAAATTTGCTACCTTAAGTCCCAGTTCTGCCAAAACATATGCACCACATTTAACATTTCACACTGTTGCTGCATGAATGATTGCCTGCCTTACAATAACAAACTGTCAGTAATACTGCAGCCATTGTTTTCCATGCATCTTCCTCTTGCTTAGCACTGCCCTCAACAGCTTACAAAACCATTTCTTTGTGCGAGTAGAGATTGAAGCGAAGGCAGCTGAATCATCTAGTCTTCCAGAAGCCTCCAGTTTCTCTTATGCTTTCCATTTTCACCCTTTTACAAGAGAGAATTATATTTCCTAACTATCTTCCTCTAAGTTTTCGTAATTGTTCTCCAAGCATTGCTGCCAGAACGTTAGGAAGGAAAAAGATTTACAAATAACTATTATAAACATAGAATAGTTTTCATGTGTCAGAGCTGATAAGAGATTGTGATCAATCATAAAAATAAATACTTAGATATCTGTTGCTGGAGTGCTGCAGTCTAACTGCTGTATTTCTGAAACTGCAGCAACAAATCCTTCCAGAGACTGCCTGAAGAAGTTTTATTATTTGTGCCAACATAATTCTAGCTAAAATTAAAAGAAAAAACTAGTCCAGTTAACCAAATGCAAGTAATTTTTTATTGCCTACCTGATGACGTACTTAACACGATTTCAAGAAGTAAAATGTCACCACTTTAAGGTCTTGCTAATCCAAGTGACCGTATCCTGCTAATAGCACACATTAAAGCAGTGAAAAACAAGTCAAGCTATCAAAACAACTCTTTATCAATAGAGCTAATGTGTGATCTTTAAAGAGGTTTTTTTTCTTTTTTAGTCCTACAAAGCTCTTGCCACTCAGTGACAAAGCCTGCATGAGTCACTCCTGCTCAGACACAGGCAGAATTGTTCATCCATAAGCAGCTTCACTTGCTGCAAAAGCAGCTGTTTGTTCATCTCTTGCCAGAAGTAAGGTTGACGTAGACCAGCTGGGCAGGATGCCCTCCCTCACTTTGGAAAAAGCAGAGAGAAGAATGCAGGGGAAAAATGTAGGAATGAGCAAATTATTATAGTTCTTTGTTTTTGTATATACCATGCATTATCTGGACTCCAGTGCCTGAAGTAACCCAGCTGCCAGAAGAGGAGAACTGATGAGCAGAACGGAATGGATTCGGGAACAAGCCTAGAATTTTATCACCAACACTAGAAGGGAGCAAAATCTGACACAGGAGGAGAGTGTTAAATCCCTCAGAGAGATGGCAATGCTTTTTTAGGCACTTCAAAAATCAGCAACCTGACTCTAAAATAAGCTCTATTTCTCATTTACTAGGAAAGTGAAGAATATGTTCCAAAAATGAAAATCCTAGTCTAAATTAATCCCTGTCTGATGCAGTTCTTTCCTCCCCCTCTTTATTTAGTGATGCACTATTTTGCACTTTTTGGAAAGGGGCATAGTGGGCAGAATAACTCTTTTTGTATTTTTCCATTCCTTATGAGGGTCGTGAACTCAAATTCATGCCGAGAATACAGATGTCACAAAGATGACCAGCTGATATCAAGTTAACCCACAAAGACAAATCTAAACAAAGCCAGTTCAAGCACAAAGTAGGCAGTTCTGTGTTACCAAGATCATATTGTTATAAGGAATTAGAATAGGTACATAACCTTGATATTTAAATATGTTGTAGTTGTACTACCTTTGTGTTCTGTTTGTACTAACAAACCCTTGTTATTTGTTCAGGACTGGCTTGGGAAAGGCTGTATGGCATAATATTGGTACTGGAGAACTGCAAGGCACTGCCTTCCACACTGTAATATAGTTCAAACAATAACATGCAAATGAAAAGAAACACTGGGGAAGCTGGTCTTTGAAGATTTGAGCAAGTTACACTGAATGCTATGCATACCACAAATTCAGGTCTCACTTGACCCTTTCCCACTCCCTGCACACCTTCAAGGAAGTCCTTTGTGATAAACAATGAATAAAACAGCATTATCACAATATATCTATGTTTAAAATAAAATAAATAAAATAAAATGAACTTAAATGGAAAGAAAAAAGCCACCTGAATAATTAAAAGCCACATGATTTTTATTCACATTTTTAAATCCCGTAACTTTAAAACTGTAGTTGAGGGAAGGAAGTTATCATTCATTATTTGTTTCATTTTTTACTTCGTTAACCACCTCGACTCTCAAATTCAACCTCTCGCTAGTTTGATCTCTGAATGTACTTTTGCATACAGCTCCAGCTGTGAATGTTACACACATTTGGCTTGAGTTTAAATATTTCAATTAACAGAGACAACAGGAGTTTGATTAATACCAAATGGCAGATTTTGAGCAACGTTCCACAAACTTGCTACATTTAGCAATAAAATAAATTAGTTATATAAGGGTAATAGGATAAGGGTTTATTACAAAGCTCACTATATATATTTGTGATCACCTGCTCCATATTTTTGAAGGGAAAAATTATCCCTCCCCTGGTTTTATCATCCACTAAAATTTTGCATTTTCATTGCAAAAAAATTGAAAATTATCACACGATGAAGAAGAAATGCTTATCCATACTTATTTGTAAGAGGAAATACACTAATAAAATATATGAAAGAAAAGAAAGAAAGAAAGAAAAGAAAGAAAAAAAGAAAAGAGAAAAAAAGAAAGAAAGAAAAGAAAGAAAAAAAGAAAAAAAAGAGAAAAAAAGAAAGAAAGAAAAGAAAGAAAGGGAGAGAGGGAGTAAGAGGGGGAGGGGGAGGGGGGAGAGAGGGGGGAGAAAGGCAGTCTGAGATCATTAAGGCAAGGCCAGGTGCAAAATACATAGTTAAGGACAACAGAGCAAAAGCAGCATAAAAATATATAATAAGCTGCACTTACTGGTATCCTATACAAGCTTCTTTCGTTCTACTATTTTGAGCATTTATTGCAATCCGAGTATTCTAGAAGTTCTGCAATCCATTGTTTTATTTGTTTTCCTAAGATGTAAATGCAAAACTCCAGCCCCATTTACACATTCCATGCCATTTACTGATAACAAAAATTTATAATACCTTATTATCCCCTTGTACTTCTCCCAGTCTCTGCTGAAGCTCTCTAATCTCTTCTCCAAGATGTTTATTTCGATCTTGAGCCTCACTCAGTAGTTGAGCAAGATTTGCCTAGAAAAGGAGCAAACAGCAGTCAAAAGTTAGTGCCTATGGAGAGAAGGGTTGTGAGTGGTGATTGAAAAGAAATCGTAGGCTTACTCCTTATCTGCCAATGATCTTTACTTTTATTGTTGTTGGTACCCAGACTTCATGCTTCATTAAAGAGATAACAACAAAAGTTACCAGTTCCTTTATCTTTAATAGCAGGAAATACATACAGCATGTGTGCATACACACTCCCAGAACAGCACACAAACCCCAAACAAAACAAAGTGAAAACATCTACACTAGTTCTGATATCTTGGCTGCTGGGAAGAGCAAAACACAGAGTAGTTTGACAATATTTATAAAAAGTTGCCAAAATAATAGTTTTCAACTTGCCTATAATTAGACAAAAGGCACAGCTGAGAAATAATTATGATATAATTATATTCCCTAATAGTATTTAGAGCACATTCCTAGCCAGTAAAGAGGATGCCAGCCAGAGTCCCTGCCCCTATACAGAGCTGTACTATCAGTATCTAGTAGCACAAAACTTCAAACATGCCTTGACTTGTGTGGTTAGCTAGTACATAGACTTCTAGAAAAATAGAGGTGAAAGCTGGAGATTAAAAACAAACACTCCCCTCTTCCAATAATCCCCCCAATAATCCAGGTCAAAAGTTATCATTTACATTAACCTACTAAGTTAGCAGGGCAAGCAGTCTGGTCTATAATTTTATAATTAAATTCCATCAGCTTGATCAGTAATAAAAAAAAAAATGCAATCTCCTCCTTTCCTATCTATGATATCTGAAAATGAGCAAATACTACAGATAAATTTATTATATTTTTTCCCCTAACAATATCTCACGAATACACAAACGTTGACCCAGCACAGGAAAAGCCTACCAATGACATCTCTTCTAAAAGAGTTATCATCGCAGTGGCTAATGCGCAGCCTTACAAGACGTCGCCTATGGACAGCTAGGTGTCATCCATTGCCATAAATCTGAAGGGTATAAAAAGAAATGGAAGCAGAAATTTCAGATCTTCTAAGCATGACTTGGTAAAGCCCCATGAGTCAATATTTCTAAGCTACCCTTACACATGCTCCCTGGGTTTGAGGCCAACGCATCAACTGACCGTTTCCAGTTCTCTCTTGGTATTTTAGATTTAGTTTTAGTTGCCCTACTTGCTGTGCTTCTCTTTCAACTCCCCCATTTCTCTGTTTTCATCTCTCTCTCTCTCTCTCTTTCAGTCCTGCCTTTTTACCCAGTTCATTCCCACTACCACTTGACGTCTCATAGGATATTTTTGTGAGTTTTATCTCTAAAACTCATCACTATCAAACCAAAAAGATGCCTGACAGCCATTCCTGTGATCTTTCCCTTTGTTTACCAACAACTGCTATTTCCACACGTCCTGTTTTATATTTAAGAGAGCTATTAGCATGAATATAGCATGCATCTGACCATTTGCAGGATTAGCCTATTAAACTATAATCAATTGGAACTTTTGTATGCTACTATATGAAGAAGCCAGCTCCAAACTCCAATTAGACTAAAATAGCAATAGCTTCAAACTTTTAAACAGGAAATGTAACTCGAGAAACTGATATATCCTACCTGATGAACAACAAGCCTAATTCACTGCTACAGCTTCTGCACTTCTGGTGCTCTGAGATCAAAGGTTCAGAAGAAAGTAATGTAAGTTTCCCACAGTTTTGGAAGAAAATTAAGCATTTTTTAGACTACTGATATACCTGAAGACTGCAAATATATAATTTGGGAAAAAAAAGTAATAGCAAAAACCCCATAAATAGCCAATTGTAGGGCCAAAATTAAGCTGCCTCTAATTCTATTTTGAAGACAGCAACCATTCAAGCAATGCAAAAGGTTCCTCAAGTATTCTTTGGTAGAATGATTTTTTTTTCTACACATTAAATAAATGTGTAGTAGTCATTCATATATTGAATGAATCAAGGAGCTTCAGAATACATTCAGTCAACGGTTCTGAGAGGTACTTCTTAATGGCTGTTTAAAAGAAAGAAAACGAACCATGTTTGCAGGAAATTGTATTTAAACTGAAGTATCTATGGCTACTGCTCAGATGCAATTTTTTTTTTTTTTTTAAGAAAGCTGACTTTCAATAAAGGCCATCCAACCACCAGATTGAGTTAGTTAAAAGGAACATGATTTGCACAAACCTCTCCAAAACACTTCTGTTTGTAAAGTCCCTTTTTATGATGGATTTCAACAACTCCTAATACTGCAATAGCACATGTAATTTCAACACCTGAGAAGAACTCAATCTCACCAATCAGTGTTTACAGCCACAACACCAGGATTCTAGCAGTCTGTAGTCAAAACCTGGCTCCCAGTAACTGCAGAAAAGGCATTACAATGCCTATACTAAATCTTCCTGCTCAGATTTATTTCCTTTAAAACCATTTCTCTGGGATAGCAATTCTATGCTGAATTTTATTTGTCAGTCATATAAATGACTTAACGTGACAAAAACCTTTATGCTTGAGACAGGAATTTTGGAAGAAACTTTAAACAAAGAATTTTAGACACCAAAATAAAACAGCCTCATTTAAGCATGCTAAGAGCATTACAATGAGCTAAGTATAGACTTGCTCCTTAATGCAAAGCTTCTATTATACTTCTGCTAAACTAAAACAACCAACCTATGTCACAGAAGTAGCCTCCAGCAATTATTCATTTCCCTGGCTTAGAGGTTCCATAGAACTATAATTTAAATTGTTCCCAGTCTTAAAGGTTTTGGCAAGACTTCATTAAAGCTCTTGGTTAAATGTGAATAGAAGGAGAAATATTTGATTTTCAAAAGTGCTCTACTGGGCTTAAAGAGAGCCAGCCAAGAGGATATGTTGAACGACACCTGGACTTTGTACCATTTCTTTGGCATATACAAGAAAACATACCATATGGTTGAAAGATGATAAAACTAACAATGGAGGACTGGCTTCATGAACCTGTAAGCATGTGTTTTTTGAAGAAAGAGGAGAAATCTATGAAAGGAGAAAGGCGATTCATTTTTCCACCTGGCAACTTCTTTTCAATATTCATAGAATAAACACAGAATTCACTTAGAAATTTAAGACAAGTTACTTCAGCAACTAATAAAGCTCGTATCATTTACCCGTGCAACACAGAACAACTCTCTGAAAATTAGCCAAATTCAGCTTCTCTACACTCAATTTCTTCAACAGTTTCTTTTGATTCTAGGTGAAGCCTTAAAAGGGCTCCTGTAACTGCCAGAGACTTTACCTCCTTTGCTCACGCTATTCAGAACTGACTCCAAAGTACTGAAGAAGAGAGATTTCTGAGCCGTGGGTAACAGGAGGGAAAGACGCAGAGTCTTTCTGCCTCCTCATCTTGTCTTGCCTCTGCAACAATCCGCAACAGTGGAAACTGTTTGTTTCTCCCACCCTCTCTCAATGCAACTATTTGTAATACTAAATATCAGATAGTGCTTCACTCAAGTCTCTAATTGACTGCCCAATATCAGACAATCTTTCTGGAGCTCTGTCCACCTCTGGTGATGTTCAGTTTCCGGTAGGTATTCTTGAGCCTCTGTGGCACGACAAGCTATTTGTTTTATGTCCATCTGTCACGGGAAAACATACATGTACAATTTGAGTGCAGACCAAACCCCCCTAGACATAAGAAACTGTCCTTTTCCCTCTGACCAAAAGCAAGCGCGACCATTGACAATGATCCCAGCAGAAGGTAGGCCTCACCCTTCTCCACTTAAACTTTGTTAAAATTTGCAAGAACGTTTTTGAGACAGAAGGTGGAAGAGAGCCTTACTTTTAGCTACAGATAAGCATCTGAAACTACTGATGAAAATACCTATAAATATTTATTAACATAAGCCAATGAATACCTGTCAGACAGCAACAGATCTTTGCTCACTACTAACCGATGACCCAAGAACAAGGGGGCCGGGGTGGGGAAGTAACTCCAAATAAGTCATCCCTGGCATTATGCACTACATTTAAATTTGGCTCCTTTAACAATTTTGCAAATCTAGCCACACATACACAAAGTGTTATTTTTCTTCACACCACTTTAAAAATGATGGATAGTAACACAGTCTTTAATATAGCTCTCAATTCTCTTGCACATAAATCTTATCTGACACTTTAAAAAAAAAAAAAGTTTAAAAAAAGGACTTTCTGCCTTTAGATACTGCCTCAAAAAGTAATTTGGCAAGGGGGAAGAGGGGGAAACTTCCAACATACCTTTACAGTTTAAAAATATTTTTAAATACAAACAAGCATTTGTATACTGCAATTTACAGTCTTTTATGTTTCTTTCAGCCACACCTTCAAACAAAGAAGAACACTGAATTATAGGGCTGACAGAAAAAAAGTTTGATGAAACATTAAGCACACTTGATGGGTGTGACTGATAGCAAATTTAATTGCAGTTTCTCCTCCAATGCATTCATATGATTGCAATGGCTGAATTAATACAGAAAAACCTACTTTGCTTACCAACTACCACTATTCACTCCAAGACAGAAGAACTCATGACCTCCCCTAGCACTAGCTTCCTTATGATAGAAAGCAAAAATTATCGTATTTTTCTCTTTAAGTTGAAAAACCATGTAGAGAAGACTTCTGAAATTATAGGTCCTGGGCATACTAAACAAAATACACTTAATATGGGTCATATTTCCCCACAGAAAAACAACAGCTAAAATCAAAGCCTTGCCAAGCAGTCACTTGACATAAAACAAGAGAAGAAGAAAATCCTCTCCTCCTCTGAGTATATGCCGCTCTGAGAACCAGGCAGGAATCCCACCACAGAAGCACACCAGTCAAAACTTGACAAAGCTCTGCAAACCCAGAAAGACTCGCTCACGCTCACATACCTTCAAGACACTCAGCAATCAGAATTTTTACAGAGCTTATTAATAGAACCAAAAAGCCATTTTAGCAGTAGAGATATGAAATTAATACTTTTCCCCTCCTTTTTAACCAGTCCTCTGTGTATTAGCTT